GTCACATCACTAAATAAATCAACATCTTCAGAATTCTCGAAAATCCAATGTCAAACAATCATAAAATCTTATCCGGATGCTAACATAATATTCTTTCCCTATTCTTGATAACCAATGCCTGGATATCAAAAATAAATAAATATGGATGGAGAGTGTCGAATACCAAGAGTTTCGCATGCTTTCCCTAGATGTAAGAAGGGTCTCGTTAAAACACGAGAATGAGAGTAAAATGAATACTCTCCGGTCATATGTAGTCGGTTGATTATTTCGTTGAAACTGTCTAAAGAAGTACCAAAGTAACAATAAGAACTCTACATGAAAAATCTCTGCTCTGTTGAAAAACACTGATGTACCCAAACTGTGGTGCTGGAACTCCTGAAGCAGTCTTTAATAAATAAAGTCTACTCACTCGAGACACATGGTTCGTCAACCAAAGATAAATAGTGACAAGTCATAAAAACTCTCTGTAGAGAGAAGGTTGTGAAGCAGCTTTGTTGATCAAACGCAACTGCAGTGCAAACCTTTGATGATTTCTCATATGTTAAGCGATATGAACTCAAAAAATATGTTGATAACGTCTTCAAAAAGAGGTCTTCTCTAATCTTTTTGCAAGATAAAAATCTTCAAGCTGCATGAACTCAAAATTTTTTTTGATATCTTCCTCAAGAACCATCTTTTCCATAGAAACCCAATATATTGTGTCTACATTACATAGCATAAAGATGTCAGGAGCAAAATCTTCAAATGATTTAGACCACAAATATTATCTTCCTTAACAAATAAAAATCTTCATAAACCCGGATTTTCAGCAGAAAATTGTAACGAACAGCAGCGACATTTTATTTATCAACACTCAAAAATCAAAAAACTCATTACAAAAATTTCAAGCTTTTTGTATAAACAACAAGACTGGTGAAGCCTTGAATTTGGTAGATGATATGTTTGAGAAGAAATATGGGCCGGCTTATGGTCTTTGTTGTAGATTGATTGATGCATTATGTGAAGATGGGAAGGTTGAGGATGCGTGTGATCCATGGAAGAAGCTTGTGAGGAAGAATTGCACTCCTGATAATGCCATATCATGTACACTTATACACTGGTTGTGTAAAAAGGGGAAGATTCGGGAAGCAAGGAAGCTGTTTGATGAGTTTGAAAGGAGTTCAATTCCTAGTGTTTTGACATATAATACTCTGATTGTTGGTATGTGTGAGATGGGAGAGTTGTGTGAGGGTGGTAGGTTGTGGGATGACATGGTGGAGAAGGGATGTGTTACATAAAACATGTTAATTAAAGGGTTTTGTAAAGTTGGTAATGCAAGGGAAAGGGTTAGGATTTTGGAGGAGATGTTAGGGAAGCGGTGTTTACCAAATAAAAGCACTTGTGGGGTTTTGTAATTGTAACTCAGATGATGAAGGTACTTGACATCGCTAGTTCAAGCAGACAGGTGATTGATGCAGATGTTTGGCAACTTCTTGTAACCAAGTTTGGTAGTAATTTTATTAACATAGGAGAGGAGAAGGCCTTTTTGATGCCATATTAGATTAGATGTCTAGCCTAGCTACATGGTTATACATATCACAACTCTCTACTCGATGCCAAAAGTTACCTTTCTTTCCCTTAGAAGGCAAGGCCCTGCTCTGCTGCTCTTTGTTTTGGTGATCCTGATGAGAGAATATATTTTGGATCAAACCGTAAAAATAATTACAGAGTCTACCCATTTTCTGCAGAAGCCTAAATGACATCCATGTGCATGGTGAGATTCAACTATAGATGTTTTTTTTGTTTTTTCTAATTGCCTCATTAGATTGGGGAAATTTGTAATAACAAGTCTAAGATGCCATTTTATATATAATGACACTTTAATTTTTGACAATCATTGGGATTTTCGCCACCTAATTTACCGATTTGGTGTTTCGGATGGAAGCAATCAATCAGAAATCAGTTTCATATGTGATTAATTAGTTTTTAATTCAAATTACGTAAAGTTGTGCTTCTTGTGTTGAACTGTTTTGGGGTTTTGATTGTGAAACATACCTTTTGACTCCAAGTACTTTCTAGAAGCTTAAATGTGATGGGGATTTAATCCTACAGTAAAAGTGATGATGGTAAAAGATTTGTTTGCAGTCTGGCTAGCATTTCATGAATCTTATCTGGACAAATTTTGAGTTATGTATGGGGCATGGCAGTTGGCTAACCATAGGTGGATTGCATTTTCTGCTCAATTCCTATTACCAGGATTGAGAGAATTGATACAGGCTTGAAGTTTTTCTCAAATGGCATTAGTTAGTTTTTTTTTTCTTTAAATCTTTACATAAATAATGAAAACTTTTTCTCCTGCCCTTGGAGGGAGGATCTGGTTCATCATTGTTTTGATTAGACAAAATTACAAAAATGGTCTCTGTGGTTTGCCAAAAGTAACAAAGTTAGTCCCTATTAATTTTTTTTTGATGCAAATGGCCCCTGTGGTTTGCAAAACTTGCACAGATGGCCCTTTTTACTAACGTCGTTAGTATTCAGCCGTTTGGGACTGAATTAGCAAGGGAAGAGGATTCAAACTTGGGACCTCCTTCCTCCCTCCTTATTCAACCAAAGCTCTAACAAACTAGCCTAGAGCCAAACTTGTTATTTAATTCCGAAAATTAATTAATATTATATAAAAGCGTAAATAATTAATAATAAAAAAATATTTAGAAAAAAAAATTAATAAAACAAAATATATTTTTAGAGTATTGTAAAAATATATTTTTTACAAAAAATTTACTTTTTTTTTACGTATTTGTTTTACATAAAATATTTTTTTAATGTATTTAAAAAAATACGTTTTCGTATACTATTTTATTACATTGCTATGATCCTAAAACATATTTTTACGTTTTCATATAAAAATACGTTTTTTTTTTCTTTCACATAGAAAAAAAAGTTTTTTTACGTATAAAATTTGTTTTTTATATATTTAAAAAATACATTTTCGTATAAAATGTTTTTACGTAAAAACATTAAGAACGTGATAACATAACGTAGTCAAATCAAAACGACTTATATTTTTTACGTAAAGCAAACTAAAGACGTTAACATAATGTAAAAATGCGTTTTTTTTACGTAAAAATACGTTTTTTTTACGTATGGGTGATTTATCCCTCACCCATATAACGTTTTTTTAGTTATAAACGTTAACGTGACAACATATTATATGAAAACGCATTTTTACGTTTTCTTTACGTAAAAAATATAAGTCGTTTTGATTTGATCTTAAAACATATTTTTACGTTATGTTATCACGTTGTTAATGTTTTTATGTAAAAACATTTTATACGAAAATGTATTTTTTAAATATATAAAAAACATATTTTATACGTAAAAAAAACTTTTTTTTCTATGTGAAAGAAAAAAAAAACGTATTTTTATATGAAAACATAAAAATATGTTTTAGGATCATAGCAATGTAATAATATAGTATACGAAAACGTATTTTTTAAATACATTAAAAAAATATTTTATGTAAAACAAATACGTAAAAAAACAAGTAAATTTTTTGTAAAAAATATTTTTTTACAATACGCAAAAAAAAATATATTTTGTTTTATTAGTTTTTTTCTAAATATATTTTTTTATTTTTTTATTATTAATTATTTACGCTTTTATATAATATTAATTAATTTTCGGAATTATAGAACAAGTTTGGCTCTATCCTAGTTGGTTAGAGCTTTAGTTGAATAAGAAGGAGGGAAGGAGGTCCCAAGTTTGAATCCTCCTCCCCTCATTTTTTATCATTCTTATCATTTTAGACAGAATTACAAAAATGGTCCCTATGGTTTACCCAAAGTTGCGAATCCAGTCCCTTTATACTTGAAAAGACAAAAATACCCTTGCTAATTCAGTCCCTAACGGCTGAATACTAACTCTTATCATTTTTAGACAGAATTACAAAAATGGTCCCTATGGTTTACCCAAAGTTGCGAATTCAGGCCCTTTATACTTGAAAAGACGAAAATACTCTTGCTAATTCAGTCCCTAACGGCTGAATACTAACGGCGTTAGTAAAAAAGGTCATCTATGCAAGTTTTGCAAACCACAGGGGTCATTTGCATCAAAAAAAATTAATAGGGACTAACTTTGTTACTTTTGGCAAACCACAGGGACCATTTTTGTAATTACAGGGGCCATTTGCATCAAAAAAAAATTATCATTATTATTATTTTTAGACAGAATTACAAAAATGGTCCCTATGGTTTACCCAAAGTTGCGAATCCAGTCTCTTTATACTTGAAAAGACGAAAATACCCTTGCTAATTCAGTCCCTAACGGCTGAATACTAACGGCATTAGTAAAAAAGGCCATTTGTGCAAGTTTTGCAAACCACAGGGGCCATTTGCATCAAAAAAAAATTAATAGGGACTAACTTTGTTATTTTTGGCAAACCACAGGGACCATTTTTGTAATTACAGGGGCCATTTGCATAAAAAAAATTAATAGGGACTAACTTTGTTACGTTTGGCAAACCACAGGGACCATTTTTGTAATTTTGATTATTATCTAGAATGTATCAATTTTTTTTTTTTTTGGTAGTTTCTTTCAGCTGTCTGTTCACCCCTTGCACAGAATCTCATGCTTTGTTGCTTTTTCAGCTTGTACAAGTCAAATAATCACTGTTTAAAGAAAAAAAAACGACTTCAATGCAATCATCATATAGTGATATAATTGACACACAAATATTTTTTACTGGTTTTATTCATCTTCAAACCTTCTGCTTCATGAACTACTGAAAGATTAACATGGTTTGAACCATGTTCATTTATTTAATTTCTATACAACATGAGTGCCTTGACTTTTTGAGTTGAATAACAGATTAGTTCTTTATTTGGTTTTTATCAACTTGAGGATATATAATAGCAAATCAAATTCGCATTGCCAAACTCTTTCAAACTTGAACACTATGGATGGAATGGATGCATGGTTGGGGTGAAGAAGTAGAATCTTATATAAAAGCTGCTAGTGCAAATGTGGTAGATTACAAACATGAAAAGATTTCATCAACATATTTAGCAGGTTATTTTGTTGTAATTAAAAAGTTTACAAACTGATGATTATGGGAGCAAAGAAAGAGAAAAGGAGGGGAGGTAAGTTAAGCAGTCTTTAGTTTTTTTTGTGTGGATTTTGTAGTCCTTGCAAGGAGCTTGAGCAGTTCATCAATAAGGATGACAGGAGCTGAAAAGCAGATGACCAAAACCCATTCGTTGAAACCCAATGGAACCACACCAAACACCTGAGCCAGGAAAGGAACATAAAGAATCAAACAGTGGAGACCAAAGGAAACGAGCATGGCAACAAGGAGGTAAGGGTTCTTCCAAGGGGGCATTGTTAGCAAACTGTTGTCTTCGGAAAGGGCGTTTAGGGAATTAAACATCTCGATGGCCACCAAGACGGAGAGGGACAGAGTCATTGGTTTGAGTTTTCCAGTGGTGAAATAGTCGCAGGGGTTTGGGAAAGCCATGACCCGGTTGCTGGCGACTGCAAATGGTGCGACTGAGAAATCGGGCCAAGAAGGACAGTCTCCCCAGTTTGTGAGCTGAGATACCGAAACAAGCGTATGCCCGTCCTCTCCTATCAGATCGACACCCAGGAAGGACGCCTGCGTGTACCATACCACAAACACACCAACAGTTGCAATCCCAACATAACACCCAATCACCAAGTAGCGAAACAGAACCCATGAATCTATGAGGGCATCGCTGGATTTACGCGGTGGTTTCCTCATGATATCAACATCAGCCGGGTTAAAACCAAGTGCAGTAGCAGGCGGACCATCCGTAACCAAGTTCACCCATAGAAGCTGCACAGGGATCATGCATTCCGGTATCCCCACTGCAGCACTCAAGAAAATCGATATAACCTCCCCAACATTCGATGAAATCATGTACCTAAGTATATAGTAATAAACAGACATCATCCTCGTCTATCTTCTAAATGATAAACTAAAACCTTAATTAACAATACCTGATAAAAGCTTTCATATTGTTGTATATGGATCGACCCTCGCCAACAGCAGAAACTATGGTACTAAAGTTATCATCGGCTAGAACCATATCAGAAGCCTCTTTAGCAACCTGGTTGATTGATTATATATGACAAGTCACACAATGTAGTTGATTAGCTAGCACATTAAGTAGTAAGTAGTATATATATATATATATATATATATATATATATACACCTCTGTTCCAGTGATGCCCATGGCAATCCCAATATCAGCAAGTTTCAAAGCAGGGGCATCATTGACACCGTCTCCTGTCATGGCCACAACTTCACCCATCTCCTTAAGCATCCTCACTATCTCTTGCTTGTGCCTTGGCTCAGCACGAGAGAACACCTTCCCGCCAGGTTTTGACAAAATATCTTTCTGTTGCAATGGAGACAGCCCCATGAAGTCTTTACCTGTAAAACTCTTACCTCTCAGATCCTCAAATTCATCAAACAGCCCGATTTCTTTACAAATCGCCTCTGCGGTTGACTTATAGTCTCCGGTTATCACCAACACTTTTATTCCCGCTCCACGACACTCTTCAATAGCAGAATCAACCTCATCACGAGGTGGATCCTAAATATATATATATATATATATATATATATATATATATATATATATATATATATTCGTTAAAACTTAAAAATAGAATCCAGAATAAAGACTTAATTATATAATTACCCTTAGACCAACAACCCCAACAAAGATAAGGTCGGTTTCAATGGAAGAGTAGCAAGCGGGGTCCACCAACTTAGGATGATGAGGATGGTGTTGGCCATTGTAATCGGAAAGGTCACCAAGATCATCCTTATAAGCCAAACCCAAACACCGTAATCCTTTGCCACTCATCTCTGCATGTCTCCAAAGCAATACCTCCCGAGAAGCTTCGTCCATTGGAACAACACGCCCATTCGCAAGCTGAACTGCTGAACTCCGCTCCACCAGACTCTCCACTGCACCCTGCAATTATTACTATGCAAAATCTTGAAATCAATCAATTAATGTATGTTTCCAGATAATATTAACTATTACCTTCACAAGCAACCGGTTCTGTCCTGTTGGCTCGCGGACAATAACACTCATGGACTTGCGCACACGGTCTAACTCCAATGTCCCAACCCTCTTTGATCTTTTCATCCACCATTCACAGCACCCTACGTACACACACACACACGCATTTAAGTATGTATTAGCAAAAAGAATAAGAGTAGCTAGGTAACCAATTAAATTAATTACTCGCCTAATTTAACACTGTTGTTATCGATGAGATAGTTTGCCATAATCTGCTTGTTTCTTGCTTTGACATCGGGATCGGGAACCCCCATCTTCTCTACCAACACCTTCAAAGCGGCTTCAGTAGGCAGACCCGTTACTCTGAAAATACGACCATCAAAATGAATTCCCGCATCATTACAGACAGCACATATTTCAGCAACTGCTTGTAGATTAGCATCCATATTGAAACAACTCCAATCCACAATTCCCCCATCTTTTGGGTCATAAGTTGTTCCTTCCACATGAAACATCCTAGGAGCGTTTGTTGTTTTCCCTCCAAATGTGAAAATCTCAGAAACAGACATCTGATTGGTGGTTAACGTGCCTGTTTTATCCGAACAAATCACAGTCGTGCACCCTAACGTCTCCACGCTACCAAGTTTCCTCACAATCGCCTTCTTTTGAGCCATTTTTCTTGTCCCCAGAGCCAAACAGGTGGTGATAACCGCAGGAAGACCTTCCGGAATGGCAGCCACTGCAAGGGCGACGGCTATTTTGAAATAATACGTGCACTTGTCGAATGAAAAGCGAATGTCTGTCGGCCAGCTGTCGGCCATCTCCCACGTCAAGAAATACTTGTAGTTGATAACCCAAACAGCAAGACAGACAGCCCCGATCACGGTTGTGAAACTGTTCCCAAATTCATCAAGCTTTTTCTTCAGTGGGGTCTCGGATTCTTCCATGGAAGCTTCATGTATTTGTTTCTGTATCTGCCCGATCTCCGACCTCATCCCGGTGTTGACAACAATGCATATACAGCTCCCGTTCACAATCGTTGTCCCACCAAAAACCATGTTATCTTTAGCCTGCAGATCACATGATGAATCATCATCATTAATTGTATGATTTCCTTTCAAAACAGGAACAGATTCACCGGTTAAAGAGCTCTGCTCCACTCTTAAAGTTGAAGTTTTCAAAACCGCCACTCTCATGTCTGCCGGGACTTTATCCCCTACTCGCAGCTCCACAATATCTCCTGGTACAAGCTCTCTAGCGGGCAGGTCGGGCACCAAATACCCGTCTCTTAAAGTCTTGCATGATTCGCATTGCATCTCCTTTAAAGCTTCCAGGGCTTTTTCGGCATTAGTTTCTTGCCAAACGCCCACGATTGCATTTAGGATTAGGATTAAAACGATCACAACAGGTTCAACATATCCTCCTCCTGAATATTCTTGGCTTTCATCTGTTTCTTCAAAGTATGCTAGCATGAACGAAATGAAGGCCGCAACAACAAGGATCTTCACAAGCATATCGTCAAATTGTTGAATCACAAGCTCCCATACTGGCTTCCCTTTCTCTTTTTTCAGCTCATTCCACCCGTGAACTTCACGTTGCTTCTCTACATCGTATGAACACAAACCTTTCTCAAGCTTTACGTTATACGCTTTCAAGCAATCATCCACAGACCATGACCAAGCAGGAAACGCTTTCTCATCCATTATATTTTAATTAATCTTCAAATTCTCAATCTCAACTTAAACCTACAACAAATTAAAATAACCCAAAACTCACATATTCAACAATATACATATCAAAATTAAAATTCCAAGTGAATTCCACTAAATTAAATTGAAAAGAACCCACCTTGACCTTGACCTTGTAAGTCAAAATATTAATTAAGATAAATTTTCATTACCATTTAGTGTACAACAACATAATTCAATCATATAAAACCTTAACCTTTTACAGAATTAGGATGTAGAACATGAACATTAGGAATAAGCCTGGGAAAGAAACCTAAGTATGCGAAAATTGTGTAATCAACCTAGTACCAAACATTTGCGAACATGAAATCTAACCTTTTCGAGGTAAATTGTAAATATGAAAACCGCAGGTCTAGCAGTTTGAGTGGAAGTTAGCAGGTTACCTTTGAAAGCAGAGAGTGGAGAAGATGATGGGTTTGAGACAAAGCAATGTATGATTCTTAAATAATAGTCAAGTAAAGGAAGAAATTCATCAGAAGATTCTTCACATAGTTTCCCGAAATCAGAAGTCATTTAAATTGAATAACTGAAAAGCTCTGATTTCTGACTTTCTTTCTGTTTTATAAATAAATATTTTTTGTTTGCTTTCTTCCTCGTGATTTTTGGGGGTGTTTCTATCCATTTCAAGAACTCTTTGCACACTTGTTGTTTTGTCAGGACTACTACCAATTTCATCCCTCAATTATATATCAACACGCTGCTTCAGTCCATGAAGTTTTTATTTATTTATTCATTTAAAATAGATTTTGGTTCGTTAGATTTAACAGCTACAAAACAGAAGTTAAAAAGAATCGTGATCTTCATCTTAACCCCCAAATTTATGTACATCGTTTTCAAAATTATATCCGAACGGAGCAAAAAGAAATCTTCCATTGAGAATTAATGAATGTTATGCTACAAAGTAGGTGGAGGGCCTAAATTTTAATTTCAATGATTAGTTTATTTAATTTTTATTTGAAAAAATTCGGTAAATGAACAAAAAAGAGGGCTCATTTGAAAATAATAACCATGAAAAAACGGATTTCGAAATCTAACCATAAGATCCGTAGAGCACCTTCTGCGGATCGAGTAATCCCTCTGAGGAAATGGAACACCTATGCGGATCTTGGGTTTTTTAATTTTTTTTTTCGTTTTTTCGTTTTTTTATTTTTGTTTTCGTTTATTAATATTAATTTTTTTAATCAAAAAATGTATTATATGATTATTATGTAAAAACAAATTGACAAAAAAAAGGATAAAAATAATAAACTTATGTTTAATATCAGTCCACAAAACTGTTTCGGAATCCACATAACTGTTTTTTGTGGATCAGTGTACACCTCTGCGGATCAGTTATAGAACTGTTTTCTGCGGATCAGTGTATACCTCTGCGGATCTGTGTACAACTATGCGGATCAGTGTACACCTCTGCAGATCAGTTATAGAAGTTATAAACGTATTTAAGTGGTTTTTTGTGAGTTTGTGAGTTTCAATTACCAGTAGAAGTTGTTTTTCCATTATGTTTGTGGAGAGTGATTTGTAAAATGAGTTTTATTATTTGTGTACGGGAGGGTCGTGGCAATTAGTTAATGGAGATGAGGTTTACGTTAGAAATAATGTGAAAAACTATGGTTTAAATCTTCCTCCTAACATTGACCATGAAATGTTATTACAAATGGTTAGAAGTAAGGCAAGTGTGTTAAATAGTCATATATGTTTGTCTTTTAAACATCCGGAGTTAGGGTATGTCATGGAGCTTGGAGATGAAACTGATGTATTTCAATTGAGACATGTAATGTCTGAATCAAAGAAGACGGTGCATTTGTATTTAACGGTGGTAGGTGAAGAAGCTGAAGAATAAGCAGTGGTTAACAACCAGTTTAATCCAGCAAAACTAACAGAGGCCGTAGAGAAAGCCAATGAGATGGAAACCGTTCAATGGGAAGAGGAAATGAAGTGCCAGTGGGTTATGAAAAAAAGTTTCGGTTACTGATAAATTTGTATCAGATAATGATAAAGAAGCAAAAGTGGGCATGACTGAATTACAATGTCAAAATTTGTTCGAGTTTGGAGAAGTTCCTGAAATTTATGATCGAAGATGTGAGGAAAAATCAAATGAAGGGTGGTCGGATGATGAGTACACGCAACGAAAAACTGCTTTTAATCCATGGTGTTGTGTTCCTTCTATTCCTGATTGTCCAGAACCTATTCTTGAACCTGGACCATTTCACAGTTTAGGTCCGAATGATAAATTAATTGTCAATCAAACCTATAACACCAAAAAAGACCTAGTATTTGTTGTTAAATTCAAAGCCGTTAGAGAAAAGTTTTAGATAAAGGTTGAAAAATCTTCAAAATCTCGGTACCAGGTTGTTTGTGTGCAAGAAAATTGTCATTGGTGTTTATACGCATCTCTCATTAAAGGAACAGAAATGTTTGAAATTAAGACGTTTAATGAGCATACATGTTCTTCATTGCTTATACACCCAAATCATAGGCAAGCAAATAGCAAAGTTGTGGGAACCATAATACATGACATTATGGGTCAAGGAAGTTTGAGAGTTTGGAAGCCTAATGATATAATTAGAGATATAAATGCTTTGCTACAAATAAATATGAGTTATTCACAAGCATGGCATGGTAGAGAATTTGCTTTGGGATTGATGATGGGGACCTCCGAAGAAAGTTTCTCCAAACTTTCAGTTTATTTTCACAATCTGAAGAAACATAATCCTGGTACTGTGGCGTACATAAAAACTGATTCGGATGATCGTTTTGAGTATTGTTTTTTCGCTATTGGATGCGCGGTAATATATTTTTAAATATATTTGTTATTTTCTTAAATGTTTATAAACAAATTATATTGTTGATATATTAATGGTTTTTATATTGTTGTTGCAGATGTGTGCTTTCAGAGAGTGTTGTAGAAAAGTTATTATTATGGATGGTGCTTATTTGAAGGGAAAGTACAAAGGCACCATCTTGCATGCAGTAGCCCTGGATGGAAACAATCGGATCTTGCCTATTGGGTATGGAATTTTCCCAAAAGAGACTATGGATTCTTGCACATGGTTTCTTGAAAAACTACATGAATACATTGGTGATGTGGAAGGTCTGACAATGGTCACAGATAGGGCACCCGCAATTGCTGTAAGTATTCAAAGTGTTTTTCCAAATGCTCAACATGGATTGTGTGGTTTTCATCTAATAGGAAACATAGTCCACACCTTTGAAAAAAAATAAAATAACAAAAATTTTGTTTTGGAAGCTGGTAAGAGCTTACAAAACAACTGAGTTTGAATTCTATTGGGGCCTTGGGGGAGACTTCGTAATATAAGAGATGATGTAGCGACATATGTCAGTCAAATTCCACGTGAGAAATGGACCAGAGCGCATTGCCCTACCATGAGGTATGATTATATGACCTCAAATAATGTGGATTCCATGAATGTTGTATCAAATAAAGCAAGGAAGTTACCCATATTACCACTTCTTGAGTTCTTTCGCACACTTATGCAGAAATGGTTTTACAAACGGCGGATGACTGCAAGTATGATTATGTTTAATTTTAAATTATATGATAAATGTCATATATAATAATATATGTTTGTTTTAACAGAAAAAAGTACAGCAATACTTACGAAGCGGGCTGAAGATATGGTTAAAAAAAATAAAGAGGGGATTCAAGGATGGTCGGTATCCGGTGTTGACAATACAACATATCAAGTGCATGACTTCAAAAGTGGCGGCATAGTGAATTTGAGGGAAAATACTTGTTCTTGAAAATATTGGCAACTAACTGGTTTTCCATGTGGTCATGTGATAATGGTTTTAAAGCACTTGAAAAATGATCACTGTGGGGATATGGCTATAGATGCTTATAAAATTGAAACATATCGAAGAACGTACAAGCAGCTCGTATACCCTCTTTCAGAACTTAGTGATTGGGAGGTTCCGGATGACCTTATGGTTATTAACCCTCCTATGATGGAAATACGTCAAGCCGGTAGACCAAAAAACACCAATCGTATTCCCTCTCAAGGTGAGGAACCAAAAATAATAAAGGTGTAGTAGATGCCATAGCACAACTCATAATGCAACGACGTGTAAGGAAATCGTTCCAAATAACCAAAGTAAAAGTAAAAAACGTACTGGGGCGTCAGGAAGTGGGACAAAAGCGACAGAATAGGAACCGACGCAAGCGATCGAAAACCAATGGCAGCATGAGCCAGATAACCAATGGACGCAACATACCGAACAACAATGGCAGCATCAGCCAGACAACCAATGGACACAACAGACCGAACATCAATGGCAGCAGCAGCCAGACAACCAATGGACACAACAAACCGAACATCAATGGCAGCAGGAGCCACAGAACCAATGGACGCAAGGGACCGAATACCAACCGCAGGAAGAGCCACAGAACCAATAGCAGGGTTGCACCGAGTACCAATGGCAGCAATAGTCAGATAACCAATGGACGCAAGCGACAGTAAACCTAGGGACACAAGCAACAGAAAACCCATGGCCGGAATACGAAAACAGATCAAAGTTTTCGTGGTTCAATTTGAATGAATGAAGTTTATTTCAAACTATGTTTATTTTGAAGGTTGTATGTTTATGTTTTCTAAAGTATGTTTTGTAACCTACTTAAAGTATGTTTATTATTCAGAATACCAGTGTGTGTAATTTTATAAAAAACATGGAATATTTGGGTAATTAAATAAGAAAAGAGACTGACAAACAGCTCTGCGGATTACCAAACAACTCTGCGGATTCCGTAACAGTTATGAGGATTCTCAAATAGTTATGCGGAATAAGTAATATAAAATCACTTTACCATGCGTATCCTTTCATCGATTCTATACCATTTCTGCTTCATTTCATTTTTTTGAAAAATTAACCCTCATATTTTCCCTCATAATGGCTTCCATACCATGAAGCGTTGAGGATAACCTTCGTCTAACTCGTGCATATATTAATATCCACGAGACCACCAGGGTGAATGATCCAAGTTATTGGAACCGTTTAACTTATGCCTTCAACGCTGACCCTCAAACTGCCCCAAAAAACTACCGCAACACCATTGACATCACAGCAAAATGGTATGAATTAAAAACTAGAAGTCTTGGTTTTCAATAATCTTTATACCAAAATTGATGACGCACGTCCGAATGAAGATGAGGAAATCATCCTGGACGTAGAGAAAGCAGAATACATATCCATTAGTGACGGGTTAGAATTCGAGTTTGAAGGCCCTTGGAATCTCTTAAAAGATCTCCCGTATTTTTAATTTGTATTGCGTTTGTAGAAGGATATTTTAATGTAGTTTGTTTTTATTAGGTTATTTATATGCACCAGTTTGTATTACGTTATTTATATGTATTTGGTTTGTATTAGGTTATTTACGAAACCAGTTGAGTTAACTTCTACTTTATTCCATAGAACATAAAATACAAAACAGTACAAATACATGGAAAACGTACATCAGTAGCAAACATATTACATAAAACATTTCACATAAAAAACTTTTCTACATGAAATATTGGTGGTTCTTAACCAGATTCCAAGCGTCCACATACTCGAAGTCTTTTCCCTCATGCTCGAAAATGTAATGATCTAAAATCATTTCTACAAGAGCTTCCTCGTTTGAGTAATAAT